TCGTGGGCCCGGCTCGCCGTCGGGGCCGACCCACCTCGAGCGCTTCCCCTTCCTGTCTGCCCGTCTGCGCTCGCTGACTCGTCCCGGACGAGTGCCACTCCGTGCCGCCCTCTTCCCGACCCTGCGCTCTTTTTGCTCGTCTGCCTGTGCCGTCCCGACTGTGCCGTTTGACGCTGACATCTTTTCCCTGGGCCGGCACCGCGTCCCTCTTACAGATCTGCGCACCCGATGCCCACGCGCCCCTCGCGCCTTTCCAGGCAGGGGTGCATCTCTCGCCCCCCTTGGCCGGTCTCTGGCTGGGGCATCTCTTGGGGTAGAGCCTCTGCTCTGTCACCTTTGGCCTCTCTCTTCCCAGACCTGTGCTGCTTGTTGCTGCCTGAGGATGATCCTGCCCGAGTCACTTCCTTGTAGGCGCCGCAGCACCTTTTTTCCTGGAGCAGATGCTTCCCGCGTTGGGTCACCTCCATCAGTGCTCTTCCCTACCCCACCCCTGTGTCTTCTTAACACGGTTGCTTCTCCTCACCCTCCTCTGGGACCTGTGCCACCTCTCGCCTCCCACCGTTGGCCTCCTCTAGGGCTGCTGGTTGTGCTCTTCACCCTCTTTTCCCAGGCTAGTCCTGCATCTTTGCCATGTTTCTGGGCAACCTCAAAGCACCCTTTTTCTGGCTCGGGGCCACTTCTCAGCCGCCTTGGTCGTCTTGCCCGGACACTTGCCCCTTCCGTGGGTTTGAGTCACCACTTTGTATTTGGGCAGCTTCTCTCTCTCCTAGCAAGCGCTGCCGCTGTCTCCTCAAGTGCCCCTCCAAACCCTCTGTCCCCTCTAGGACTCTCTGATTGCTGCCTTCAGTGATCTTGTGCCCTTCTTTCTTGCTAAAACTGTCCTTTGGTTACTGATGAGGCCAGAGGGGACCCTGGAAAGAGAGTTTGCCTGGGTGGAGGGGAAGGTGCTCTTGACAGGGCGCAGTTTTCACATTCTCAGCAAGAGGGACTACAGAGAGAATCGACTTGTCTCAAGTTGTGATGTCTGTCCCTTGAGGGTCTTTCCTCTGTGTGCCTCTGAGTTCCACCTGGGAATGGGCCAGTAGTGCATCCCTCTTTAGAAGGCTTGCGGGAAGAGGGGGTCCATCTCTGGGTTCACGGAGAGGTGCTGGCCCTGCCCACCTTTTTGCCCAGCTTTGCCTGGGACAGTCCCCTCCCTGGAGCAGGCCCTGCTTCCCCAAGGCCCCCACCACGATGCCCATGCTCACAGACCAGGAGAGGGCTCAGGCTGTGGTGTCTCTCTCGTGGCCCTTCCCTGCGGGGCTCCCAGCCCTGTGCTGCACCCCAAGCCCCTTCCTCAGCGCCCCCCAGGCTCAGAACATCTCTTTGGTCTGGCCTTGCTGGCTGGGCAGGACCTCCTCCCACTGTGGTGGCCCTGATGATTCACTGCAGGTCCTTCCGGAGGCTGTCATGAGGGTTCGGGCCACTGAGGTTCAGAGAGGGAAGGTTCCTGCCTGCCTCAGGGCCAGCAAGTGGGGAGCTGAGTAAGGAGCTAACACCGTTTGCCCAGGACTGACCTGGTTTCAGCACTGAAAATCCTGGGACCCAGGAAAACCCTTGCTCCCAGAAAATAGGGACAGTTGGTCTGAGTGACTCTAAACTTTCAGCTGATTTCTCTCCCAGGGGCTGGTCCCCAGCATCTGCCCTCTACTGTGGTGTGGTCCCTGAGTCCTCCTGCTTTAGCCTGTGCCTGAGGTATTTATCCACCCTTACAAGGCTGGTGGGGTCCCCCCATTGTCTTGTATATTAATGGCTGGCTGTTGGGTCAGGAGTAGAATAGGAGAAACTGGGAGTCAAGATTGTGCGCGCATGCGTGTGTATTGGGGAATCGAACCCAGAGCCTTTACATTGAGCTATATCTGTATCCCTTTTAATTTTGAGGTAAGGTCTTGTTAAATTGTACTGCAGAGACTAAAACTTTTAGTTGTCCTGTTGCAGCCTCCAAAGTGCTGGGATTATAGACATGTGCCATTGATCCCAGATTGGGGACCTGGATTCTTAGGTCTGAACGGGGAGAGACCCCTGGGTCTGCGGAGGAGGCTGGGTCTGTCCCTGTCCCCGGGGTCAGAGGGAGGACCGGGACCTGGACTCCTGAGTCCCTGGTGCCCAGGCCTCAGGCATCTTTCGTATGGATGCCTGTGCTGAGCCAGGTCCTTGAAAGGGAAAGGCCCGGCTCCCTCCTTGCCCCCCCTCCCATCTCCATGACAACTGAGTGGAAATAAACGGAGCCCAGAGTTCATCCCGTTCCCAGGGCACGTGTGGCCCCCCTCCCGCAGTCTGAGTTTCCATGACTTCATGCTCTCGGCCCTCCTAGCTTCCTCCTCTTCAGATAGGTGGCTCTGGGGAGGTGAGGGAGTGGGAGGGTTAATTGGTCCTGAGGCCCCAGGAACCCCTCTCAGGCCGGGTGGAGGTCCCAGTGCCCGCCTGGACCCTGTGCCCGCTGGGGTGAGGCCTGGGTCTCCTTGAGCGAGCATTCCTAGAAGACGTGTGCTCTGAGCCCCTCATCCTGCACCCTGTGTGGAGCGGGCCTCAGCCTGGCTCCGGGCACAGGATCACAGCCCGCCCACCCCTCAGGTTTCACAAGCCCGGCAGCCCTGGCTCCCCTCAGGGTCTGTCCCTGAGTGAGTCTGCGGCGGGGGCGGGGGTTCGCAGCCTGCCCCTTGGCCGGCCCTGTGGGTCTGCGGGAGCAGGGGCTGAGCCTGGGCGCCCTGTCCTGCAGGCTGTGACGGTTCCGGGTCCCTCGGGCCCACTGAGGAGGAGACGCCCCATCTCTTTCCTGCCCCGTGTGGCCTTCTTTAAGCCGTGGGAGCCCCCTGCCCAGTGTGACACCTGTCCTCACCCCCAGGCCTGCATTGACGAGAACCTGGAGGTAGTGCGCTTCCTGGTGGAGCAGGGAGCCACCGTGAACCAGGCAGACAACGAGGGCTGGACACCCCTACACGTGGCCGCCTCCTGTGGCTACCTGGACATCGCCAGGTGAGGCCAGGGTGCGTGGGCAAGCCCAGAGCGGGTGCCGTGCCGGACAGCGGCCCTGACCTCCCCGTCCCCAGGTACCTCCTGAGCCATGGGGCCAACATCGCCGCTGTCAACAGTGACGGGGACCTGGCCCTAGACCTGGCCGAGTCGGACGCCATGGAGGGGCTGCTGCAGGCGGAGATCGCCCGCCGAGGTGGGCCTTGGGGTGTGCAGCCTGGGAGCCTCCACAGCTGGTCTTCTCAGTGCCCTGCCTCAATTTCCTCCCTTGTGGAGGGGGCTCAGAGGTGCTTGCCCTAGAATCGCATGGGCAGTGGCCAGCAGGGGGTGGGGTGGGGCTGGATCAGGAGGCGCTCACTGAGGGAGTGGAGACACGGGCTTTGGGACTGGTCCCCCAGCTCTGTTCTCTTTGCGGGGCTCCAGCATCCCCAAGGCCATCTGGCCACATTCACTTTTCTAGGTGGGGGAGAGTGTGTTGATAAAGCAGCTTCTCCCCAAGGCTGGAGCTGCCCCCCAGTGGGTGCTGGGCCCTGGCTGGCATGGCTAGGGTGGGGCCTGGGGGGCGGATGGGTGGGGAATCTGAGCCCCCATGAGCCAGGGGGTACAAATGTGGCTTCTGAAGCGACTGGGTTGCAGGTGGCTGTCCAGCCATGGCCCTGAGCTCTGTGCCCTTAGCACGGCTTGGTGATGAGCCGTAGTGTCCAGGCTCTGGGCCCGGAGGGCACGACAGCACAGCGCGTGGGTGTCCTCTGCCCAGGAGGGAGGCGAGGGTGACGAAGAACAGATCTGGAGGCCCTGTCCAGCTTTCTGGCGTGGTCCTCGGCACCACTGCCAGGATGGAAAGGCACGAGGCCAGCACTGGCATGCGGGTGCCTGGGAGCCTTCCTGAAGAAGTTCCGGTGTGAGGATGGGGCCTCTGCCGGCCTCCCGGTTCACTTCTGGGGACTTTTGTTAGTACAGGTGTGTGGTACGTGGGCAGTTGGCCCGTGTACAAAGCGCATGTGAGTTCTGCTTCCCTTTCCCTGTCCCTTTCTGACACATTACCGGCGAGCCTTGTGCTCACCCGTTGGAAGTGCACGGCTCAGTGCTGTCAGTGTGGATTGTAAGCCCGCCCAGCCCTGCACAGCGCAGGTCAGCGTTGTCTCAGTTGCCCCCCCGGCCGTCTTGGGATGGTCACAGTCCGTGACTTGTGCGTTGGCTCACGTCGACTCGCTTCCTCCTCCTCCCACACAGCGCCTAGACGACTAATTCTCTTCTCCTCCCGCCTCCCTCCCTCCTGTTCAGCCCTGAGCCACGGCCTGCAGCACTGTGCCCACGGCAGGGAAAAAAAAACCCCGGCCGTTGGGATGGTCACAGTCCGTGACTTGTGCGTTGGCTCACGTCGACTCGCTTCCTCCTCCTCCCACACAGCGCCTAGACGACTAATTCTCTTCTCCTCCCGCCTCCCTCCCTCCTGTTCAGCCCTGAGCCACGGCCTGCAGCACTGTGCCCACGGCAGGGCGCAGCACTGTCTGCCCTGGGGCCCTGTGGGCTTTGGGCTGCCCCGTCCTCCGCTGGACTGGGGCGTCTACTCGGCAGGAGACTCGGCTCTGCTGCATCCTGGCGAGGGCATGAGGGTCTGTGCTGGTGATGAACCCCACCCGTGGGCGCGGCAAGCGCTCACCGAGGAGTGCACCCCATGCCAGCCCTGGTTTTGGCCGAATCCTCTCAGCGCATGGTCGCTGTGGCTGGGGAACCCTAATGTTGACCCTGTGAGGCGTCCACCTACCCTTTAGGAAGACGTCGCTGCAGTGGCCTGTCTGGATCTCACTGGGGTCCCCAAGGTGGCTCCCAGGGGAGCCATGGACACTGGCTGTCTGCCCTCTGCAGAAGTTGCCTGTGTCCCTTGGTGAGGAGAAGGCTGTGGAGGGTGTATTGTTGGGGGCCGCGAGGCCAGTGGTGCCCCTCCAGGAGGGCTCTGCTGTGAGGGCCACTGCCCCATCACAGGCCAAGTGGGCCTGTTGCCGTGATGCCTCTCCTCAGTGGGCACAGTGGGGTCACTGGGCCTGCCCTGGCCACACAGAAGCAAGGGATCTCACCCGCTCGGGACATCGCCTCCAGGAGGGCCAGTCCTCTGCACAGGCACCGTTCTGACCGTCCCTGCCACACGCACAGGCTGTTCTCTCGCTTTGCTGTTCCGGGAGGATCCACCTCTGCCAGGCGCACCAGCCGCAGTGGTCCTGTGGAAGGAACCAAGCAGAGCCAGGCGCGGCCCTTGCCAAGGACTAGGTGCTCGCTCCAGCCCGCAGGAGCAGTTTCCGTGCCGTGTGTTCACAGAGGGAGGTAGAAGGAGCCCAGATGCCCTTCACCATAGCAGACGAAGCGTGACACACACACGAGTGTCAGCCGGGAGGGGAGGGCTTGGGGACACAGCCTGAGCGGTCAGCCAGTGACTGGAGATGGCTGTAGGCTCCACTCGGAGAGACTGGAGTCGCTGAAATTACGGAGACATAAGAAAGCCAGAGCCAGTTGAGTGGTGGTTGCCGGGGCTGGGAAGAGGGAGTATGGGTTACTTGAAGGGCGCAGGCTTTCGGGCAGGGCAGGTTGGAGTCCTGGCTATGGACTGCAGTGGCAGTCAGCAGAGTGACTACTTAATGCCCCCGGGCTGCATGCTTACTGGGTGAAGTGGTAAATTTTATGTTTATTCTGTTACAATTCTTTTATTTATGTACCTACTATTTTTCTGTGTTACTAGACATTGCTACATCTCCGGCTCTTGTTTATTTTTTTAACTTTAGACAGAGTCTTGCTAAGTTGCCTAGGCTGGGCTTGAGCTTTTAGTCCTCATGCTGAAGGCTCCCAGAGTGCTGGGACTCCTGGTATGCATCGCCATGCCCAGCCACAATTGTTATATGGCAATTTACAGACTTATGTAACTGAAGTCTGTGAGCTTTGTGGGTTTCAGGCGAAGTTTGATCCAGGGCACAAACAGAGTCAGCATCTCTTCATCATCACCTTGTGCCAGCTTTGCTCTCAGCGAGGCCCGTGCAGGGGCTGACACCCCTGCAGAAGGGGGACCGCCTCCTTCTCGGAGGTTGAGCTGTGCTTCTGCTGCATGCTTCTTGACTGCCTCGGCCCCATGGCATCCCCTGCACCTGCCACAGTGGCAGGGGGCACCAGGCCTGGAGGTGTGCCCCTCACTGAGCCAGGCTGTGAGCTCCATATACTGGAACCGCCGGGGGTGAGCGCCGCCAAGCCGTGGTCACAAGGAAGGGAGCCGGACGCCCCAGCAGATCCACGGCACTGGCACTGGGAAGCCTCGTCCCCGTGGGCCCCTCTGTGTCCCGATGGGAGGGGCCTCTGGCTGCGGCCGTGGGCGGAGACCTGTGCTTTTTGGAGGTGTGAAGCGGAGCCCCAACTCCCTGGAGGGGTGGTGAGGGGCGTCACACCGAGGCCTGGCAGCAGTGCTGGCCACACACCCCTGTGCTGGCAAGTGGGGCCATGGGAATGTGCATCGGGCACCAGCGATGGTGACTGAGACCCACGTTCTCCTGGTCAGTCCGCTTCTGGGCCTCTTGGAGAGAGAGGATGAGGGTATCACCATCCAGCAAGCAGTGTGTAGCCTGGGAGGCCGGAGTCTGCCACAGAGAACCGGCAGGTGGGGAAGGGTGCAGCGTCCCAGCACAACTGCTTTCCGAAGGTGGCCAGGGACAGGACGAGGGGCACAGGCAGACCCCAGAGACAGGACGTGGAGGGTACTTCTGGGCCCTGGAGGGCAGTGTGGGCAGTAGCGCTCGCAGGTACTTCATCCGGGGTGACAGCCACCGGGGAGTGAGACAGCGTCCTGAGCCCCACTGAGTCATGCAATTGAAGGCAACAGTGTTGATATGTTTGCAGCCTTTTACCAGCACTACAGCCAGGAGTAAGAGGGGCCCCTGCTGTGAAGACCAGGTTTATTCCTGCCCTGCGGGAGAAGTTGGGCCTGGATCTGCACCAGCGGTCTCTGGCTTTAGGGATGTGGCAGGTGGAGGAGAGGGTGGGTCCTGGTATTGCCCTGGAGTCTCCGGATCTCCACGCCCCAGGCAGGCTGTGACCCTCCCTCCCTTCATTCCTGGCATTGCTGTGGCAGGGAGACCCTATCTTCTGGGACTGACTGAGTGCTGTGGGCCACAAGGGATAACCAAGCTGCAGCCCCAGCCTGCAACACCTGGTGTGGCAGGGGTGGCCCGCTGTCTCTGCACCCCCATGTTCAGGGCTGCATTTCTTGGGTTCTGTTTATGGTTTCCTGGCAGTTTACAGGATGTGTGGTAAGCAGGTAATGTGTATGAGGCAGGCCAGAGGTGGTGGCTGCCTTTGAGGAGGCACGTGAGGGGCTCCTGTCAGTTCTGCCGCACTTGCTTTTCAACCTGGATAGAAGACATGAGGCTTCTGTGCCAGTGCTGTGAGTCACAGGGGCACACCTGTAATCCCAGTCCACAAGAGGCTGAGGCAGGAGGATCACTATAGGCCAACCTGGACTACATAGTGAGTTCAAGGCCAGCCTGAACTACATAGTGAGTCCCTGTCTCAAAAAACCAAAACCAAAAACAATTTTTTCCTGAGTTGATAGATTTAAGACAGTAAAGGTAAACAGGTGAAATTAATTTTAATGATATGTTGTATTTAGATCTGGGATGTGGCCCAGTGGTGGAATGCTTACCTCTCCTGCCCTTGTTTGATTCACAGCAGTATAAGAAACTCACACTCAATAGTGATAATACATTTCAATCCCATATACCCCAGATATCGTCAGCATGTACTTCTTAAAAACTGGTACACACAGATGGGTACATCGCTTGGTGGTAGAGCACTTGCCTGGGGTGCAGAGGCCTGGGTGTGATCCCCAGCATCTCAGAGCGCACACACGCACAGGTGTGTACACGGCTGGACCTCCTTTTCCTGAGCTTTGAGATCCAGCTTGCGCCTGGGTCAGAGCCCCTCTCCCTGGGTCAGAGCCCAGCTGCGTTTCAGGCTCAGCCGGAGACAGCCCACTCTTGCACCTCTTCGGGCAGTGGGCAGAATTCCCCAACCAAGAAGGTAACAGGCCATGGGCAACCTCCCAGGCTGCACCTGCACCCGGAGAGAGCCATTTCCCTGCCTCAATCATGGCACATAGGAAGGAGGTCCCCAGGGATGTTGGAGAGAGACGAGGGCCAGTCCCGGGCTGCCCGCTGGGTGCAGGGCCCCAAGTTGCCCTTTCAACTGTCACTCCCCTGGCCCAGGGTGTCCCTGTGGGCGGCTGCTGCGCGTTGCCCAGGGTGGGGAGCAGGTTTAGCGAGGTTGGAGGTTACTGTGGAGCACGGGACTTTGTGAGTGGCTTTGCTGGGGTTCGGGTGGTGGTCTGAACCTGTGAGGTACGGGGTGGAAAGCATTGGTAGGGACAGGCAGGTGAGAAGTCTCCAGATGCTCCCCCCCCAGGCCGGGACTGCACAGAGCACATCCGGGGAGGGCCCGGGCTGAGCTGCAGCTTGGATGTGGCCCTGCACACCCACTAGGGGTGAGCCTGCCTCACCTGTTCTTGCTCCCCAGGTGTGGATGTGGAGGCAGCCAAGCGGGCGGAGGAGGAGCTGCTGCTTCATGACACGAGGTGCTGGCTGAATGGGGGTGCCATGCCCGAGGCCCGGCACCCGCGCACGGGGGCCTCTGCCCTGCACGTGGCCGCTGCCAAGGGCTACATCGAGGTGATGAGGTGAGCGCCCACCCTGCTCCTGCCTGAGGCTGCCGCTTCCTTGTGTGGTCTCCTTCATTGCTGTTCAGGGTAAAACCTTGTCTAACTGATGGTCTGTCGGTCTGTCTGTCTGTGTTCTGTTTCCAGTACTGGGAATTGAACCTAGGACCTTCACACTGAGCTCCATCCTCAGCCGTGTTTATTTATTTTTTGTTTTTTTGAGACAGAGTCTTAGCTATGTGATTCCACCTGGCGTTGAACTGGTAGTGAACCCCTGACTTAGCCCCCTGAGTGCTGGGATGACAGGCATGCTCCACCATGCCTAGCTTTTATTTTTTATTTTGAGACGGGTTCTTACTAAGTTGCTTGTGCTGGGCTTGACTTTTTTTTCTTTATATTTGGTACCGGGGATGGAACTCAGGACCTTGTACTTGCAAGGCAGGCGGTGGCACCACTGAGCTAAATCCCTGGCCCTGGGCTTGACTTTTTGATCCTCCTGCCTCAGCCTCCCAGAGTGCTGGGATTAACAGGTGTGCAGCACTGTGCCTTGCTCCCTGACCCCTCTTCTGTGGCCTGTGGATTGTTTAGGAGTGTGTCCCTGATTTCTAGACGTGTGGGTTTCTCGGTTACTTCATTCACGGTATCCGCGGTTCTCCGGCTTAATTGCAGTTTGGTCAGAAAATGGCCCGCATGCTTTTTGCTTGCTCCGTCTGTGCAGGCATCTGTGTGCCGGGAAGGGGCGGTGTCTGGGGCAGTGTCCTTCCCTCGTCTTGAGGCCAGTTCAGGGTTGCGCTGTCCAGACCTCCCAGGTCCCGCAGCACTTGCCTGGCCGCTCCTGCTCTCTTCTCATAATGATGGGAAACTCGGCCTGTTTCGCCTGCTCATTTTTATTTTACACATTTGAAGTTTGGGCTGTCTGGTGCATACATACGTGTTTTAAATATCGCAGTGCGTGTTCCTCTCCTGTCATCCTCCCTCCGTCTGGGGTCTCCTTTGTCCCTTGTCAGCTGTTCTCTTTCTGGTAGGGTTGGCGCCTCCTCCTGTGCTCCGGCCCTCGAGCCCAGGGATGCTGTGCCTGCACGGTGCGTGTGATCTCCACCAGCAGGAAGTGGGGAGGAGAAGGGAGCCAATGTCTGTCTTTTTCTTTTTCCTTTTGCAGTGCTGGGAGCTGAATCCAGGCCTTGTGCCTACTGAGCAAGTGCTCCTATGCTGAGCTGCATCCCTGGCCCTTTTAATATCCTGTTTTGACATGGGTCTCACTAAGTTGCTGGAGTTACAGGAGTCTGCCACTGACCGAGCGTCCACCTAAAAATTGCGTTGGTTATTAAACAGAGAGTTGGTGTTCGTGTCTGTGGGGCGGGGTGCTGGGGATTGAACCCAGGGCTTCGTGCATGCTAGGGAGCAGTCACTCCCTGAGCTGTTTGCAGGCAGCCTCATCCTTCCAGAACTGAAGCTTTGGGTGGGTGTCGAGTGGCCGTGAGGGTTAGGCTCAGTGGTAGCACACACGCCTGGCTCCTGAGGCCCTGGGTGTGATCCCAGCACTGGAAAAGTGAATTCCCATTTTCTGTGGTTTTGTTACTGCTTAGGGGAAGCCAAGCAGGGTCAAGAAGAAACTGAGAGTAACAGGAGGGGCTGCGGGTGGTGACGGGTGCAGTCGGAAGCTCGGAAGCCCCACATGGCTGGAGCGGAGCGGCTGGGGGCGCGGAGGAGAAGGTCCCGGTGTGGCGGCTCTCACTCTCTGCTTGTCCTGTTCCCCAAGAACAGCCGCATCCTGCCATGCTCGGGTTGGAAAGTTCCCTTGACTTTTTTTTTGCCATTTGAGATAGGGTCTCATTTGCTAAGTTGCCCAGGCTGGGCTCAAACTTGTGATCCTTCTGCCTCAGCCTCCTGGAGTGGTAGGATCGAAGGTCTGTGCCACCACACCCAGCACAGACTTGAGTGGATTTGTAACCCTTCCCCTGCCACCCTGAGTTAGAACAGCCAGACATGTCATTGATGTCCCGAGGCAGGGGCAGTGCCACTTTATTGAGCCACCTGCCTGAGCCAGTGGGGGTCCCCGCAGGCTGCAGCCTAGAGGCGGCACCTTTGGGTCTCCTTGTGTTCCTAGGGCTGAGGCTGGCGCAGCCTCCTGGCACCCCACTCCCTCTCCTGGACTCCCAGGGCCCTGTGGGTGGGAGGACCCAGCTTTCGACGCCACCTCAGGCCAGGGTTGACTCGGCTGCTGGTCCTGAGAGGGTTGGAGGCTGGCGGGCCGCAGGGTCCCTGGGGAGAGACCTGGCACAGGGCCCTTGACCGTTGGCCAGAGTGCTTGCCTGTGTAACCTGGTGCTGTGGGACCTGGCTTCGACCCTGCTCCAGCCCTGACCCAGCTCCCTGGCCCCAGGCTGCTGCTGCAGGCCGGCTACGACCCGGAGCTCCGAGATGGAGACGGCTGGACCCCCCTGCACGCGGCAGCCCACTGGGGCGTGGAGGACGCGTGTCGCCTGCTGGCTGAGCACGGCGGGGGCATGGACTCGCTGACCCACGCGGTAGGGCCAGGCCGGGCATGGTGGGATGGAGGGGTGCAGCAAGGCGCCCCCATTACCCACTCTTCCTCTCCCAGGGTCAGCGGCCCTGTGACCTGGCGGGTGAAGAGGTGCTGAGCCTGTTGGAGGAGCTGGCACGGAAGCAGGAGGACGTGAGTCTCAGCAGAGAGGAGAACACTCGTGACCTGACTGTTTCTGCCCCAGGGCCCAGCTGGGCAGTGGAGGCAGCAGGACCTGGGCACCGAGCTTTCTGTCTGACGGGTCACATATGTATCTGTCTGGACTTGGGCTGGGCTTCTCACCCTGCCGCCCCATGCAGCCCTTTCCTGGGGGACAGAGTGCGGGCTTCAGCTGGCTGTGTTGGAATCCATGCCTGGCAAGGTGGCCCAGGTATCACTGAGCCAGCTTGGGCGTGGAAGAACCTCCCCTGGGGTCCATGCCACAGCAGTTTACTGGAAGGGGCAGCGGCAGTGCCATTTCTGGGGGCACTGCTGTGAGTCTCCCGGCCAGGCTGAGAGGAGGTGATGGCCAGCAGCCGTCTGTCTGCACCTGGGGCGGCTGAGGTAGGGCGCGTCCCGGGTGTGCTGAAGTAGGGAGGCTCAGTGTTCCTCGGGCCTGAGGTGGGAAGGCCCTGTGGGTCACGCCAGGCTCCTCATGGGTGGGAACGTGATGACAGCGCCTGGGCTCCCTGCGGAAGGCTGCAGCACAGCGGTGTGTGGTGGCACTGCACTGCGAGGGAGGCCGGGTCCCCCAGTGGGGTGTGCTCCAGCAGCCCCTTCCCTCGTCACAGCTTCGAAGCCAGAAGGAAGCCACCCAGAGCAGAGGCCAGGAGCCCCAGGTGCCGTCCAGCGGCAAGCACAGGCGGTAGGAAGGAGAAGAGCCTGGTGGGGCGGGGAGAGCTCCAGTGCAGGACACCGACACCCGCTCCTTCCACAGGAGCTCTGTGTGCCGCCTGAGCAGCCGCGAGAAGATCTCCCTGCAGGACCTGTCCAAGGAGCGCAGGCCCGGCGGAGCAGGAGGGCCGCCCATCCGGGACGAGGAGGAAGCGGAAGAGGGCCGTCCTGGTAGGGGCCAGGGAAGGGACGAGACCTGAGGGAGGAGCCTGGCTTCCCTGTCCTCAGAGACAGACGGCATGTTGTGGGACCTCCCCTTGTCCCTGTAGAGCCGCGCCCTGCAGAACCCAGAGCCCTCAATGGCGTGTCCTCCCCGCCACTTGCCAGTCCTCAGAGCCCTCTGGTGAGTCTGTCCCTGCGAGGGCTATGAGGCTGAGGTGGGCACACGATATGAAAATCCATCACCTCCCACTGCCTCTCTAGGCCTGGTGACAGCTACAGTTGTCCTGCTCCTTTGGGAGGGCACTGCCTTCCCCGAGGGGCGGGCGGTGCTTCTCTGTGACAGAGACCTTCCTCCCCTCCAGCTGTCCGCCTCCACTGCTGCCCCCTTTTCTCAGCGCTTTGGCCTCCAGAAGACAGGGAGCTCTGGGGCCTTGGGACCTACAGAGAGGCGGGGTGCCGGGGCAGCCCCAGGCGCTGGGCTGCAGCGCTCAGCCTCCTCATCCTGGCTGGAAGGGACCTCGGCGCAGGTAGGTGGCATGCGGTGGTGGGTCCAGGAGCTTGTCCAACGAGAAGACGCATCTTCTCTCTCCACAGGCCAGGGAGCCCCGTCTTGCCAGAATCCCCCCCACTCTGTCCCGGAAGGCACTGGAGCCCTCTCCCCTGTGAGTCCTGGGGGTGGGTGACAGACCTGGGTGCTGTTCTTCCCTAACACGCTACCTCAGTTTCCATTTGCTGCCCCAAGGGAAAGCTTACAGTGGAACTAATAGGCCACGGTGATCAGCGCTCTTGGTGTCCCCCATTGTGTCTCTGCCCTCCCTCCCTCCCCTGCCTCCCTTGGGTCTCTGGTCAGATGTCGTCCTCTGCCTGTGGCCCACTGAGACCACCACACTCCCTCCCCAGAGTCCCGCATGCACACCTCTGCCTGTCCTGGTGCCCTTCCATCCCACGCGCTTGGTCAGGCCCTGTGAGGGCCAGGGTTTGTCTTGTGTCTTCTCTGCTGGGGACCCAGCTCTGCTTCTCAGCTGTGGCTCCGTGCCTCCATGGTGTCCTGAATGAATGAATTCCACAGGTCTGAGGTCACCAGGCCCCCACCTGCCTTGGATAACTCCACTCCTTCCTCCAGGAGGGAGCTGGGGTCCCCAGTGAAGCTAAATGTCCCCCCAGCCTCCACCCCGGCCCCAGCGGACACCCGTGACCGGCGGAGGTAAGGAGACCGTGGAGGAAGTGGTGTCTGTGCATTGGGGAGGAGTCACCGGGGCTCCTGAGGGAGAGGCTGTCGCAGGGGACAGGAACCAAGAGCGCTCCCTGAGGCTGAGTCCTTCACACAGGTCCTACCAGATGCCCGTGCGGGATGAGGAGTCCGAATCCCAGCGGAAAGCGCGCTCCCGCCTCATGCGCCAGTCTCGGAGGTCCACACAGGTGTGGGGTGGGTGGGGGCCGGGCCCCAGGTCAGGGGTCCGAGGGAGGAGGCTGGGCTCAGACCCCAGGTCTGGACTCTGAGTCCTGATAGAGCCTGGGCCCTGGCCTGTCTCCCCGCCTGGCAGGGTGTGACTCTGACAGACCTGAAGGAAGCTGAGAAGGTGGCAGGAAAGTCCACCGAGGCAGAGAAGCAGCCATCTCTGCGGGGCCTGGTGAGCAGGGTCAGATGAAGGGCAGCAGGTGGTGCTGGGCCCCTGGTCCTGACCGTCTCCTCCCTGCAGGACCCTTCCCGGAGGCCCAGAGTCCCTGGAGTGGAGAACTCTGAAGGCCCTGCCCAGAGAGGTGAGGTTTCTCTGGAAGTCTCCTGTGCAGTCTTCCTGTGCCCCGGGCATGGACCCTGGGGCCCCTCCCTGTACCCTGATGGCTCCCCATCCCCAGCAGAGGTGCCCGATGGGCAGGGCCAAGGACCACAGACTGCCAGGGAACCCCGCAAGGTCGGCAGGGAGCGGCGGGGACCTGCGGAGGTGAGCAGGGGCCTGGTGGCCAGGCTGGGGGAGGGCAGGACCCATCTTGGGCTGAAACTCCTCTTCCCTCTGTGGGGCAGGGCGAGGAGGCAGAGCCTGCAGACCACAGCCCGGAGTGCAGGTAGGTGGGGTGGGGCAGGCCCCGGGCATGGCCTGGACCCAGCCGGGCTGAACTCCACTGACCACTGCCCCTCTGCGTAGCAGCCCCGTAGATGCCCTCGCAGCCCGGAGGCCTCGCTCACAGCAGGACCTCCGCCCGGAGCCGGAGCTGCAACCAGAGGAGCCGCACGGGGGCTTCAGGAAGGTGCAGGACCCAGCTGGCCCGGTTGGTGGCCCGGCCTCCCCAGCCCGGGTCCATCCTGCTTGACGCTGCCCTCTCTGGTGCCCCCAGCTGTATTCGGAGCTGCGCAGGGAGAACGAGCGGCTTCGAGAGGCCCTGACGGAGACCACGCTGCGGCTGGCGCAGCTCAAGGTGGAGCTGGAGCGGGCCACACAGGTGAGCGGGGCCCGGTGTGAGGGGCTGAGGGCCCCCAGGGCCTGGCCTTTCGCCCACGCCGCCTGTGCCCTCACGTCTGCCTTCGCTCTCCTCACCAGCGGCAGGAACGCTTCGCAGAGAGGCCGGCCCTCCTGGAGCTGGAGAGATTCGTGAGTTGGGGTGCTGGGACGGGGCGCTGGGGCGCTGTTCCCAGCCTCCTGTGCTGGGGCCAAGCTCACCTGACCATTCTCCCCACTCCCTCCTTCCAGGAACGCAGGGCCCTGGAGCGCAAGGCGGCCGAGCTGGAGGAGGAGCTGAAGGTGGGTGCTGGGGGCGCCGAAGGCAGGCACAGCCGGCCCAGGCCACCCCGCTGACCCTTTCTGTGCCCCAGGCCCTGTCTGACCTCCGCGCTGACAACCAGCGGCTCAAGGATGAGAACGCAGCGCTGATCCGAGTCATCAGCAAGCTGTCCAAGTGACACCGGGGGACTCGCCCACATCCATATTTATACAGCTGCTTCTGCCACATGCACCCTTCCCCACGGAACACGAGTGACGGCTCTGGGGAAGCCGCCAAGAAGCCATAGCCGCCTCTCGGGTCTCCAGGAGGGACCGGGAGGGAAGCACAGGTCCCCTGGGCCTGGGGGCGCTGCCTGAGGCGGACGGAAGGGAGGCTGAGCCAGGTGGGGGATGTTACTGAGAGGGACCAGGAAGGAGACGAGGCCAGTAGCCAAGGACCAGAGGGGCCGCCCCGGGGTCCCCGCCTCACGTGTGATGCCACCCCAGCACCTCCCCTCCCGAGCAGGATTCAGGAACGTGCCAAGAGTCCCGCCGGTGCCCAGGTGGGCCTGTATATAGGGTCCATGTGCAATAGGAGGGATGTCTTCTATTTTTTGCTGCCCCCTCCCTGACTGTTGTGTGAGGAGGGGGAGAAGGTATTTTCGAGACAAAGCACAGGCACCACAAATAAAAGTCGTGATGTTGCCACTCAGGGACTTGTCCCGAGCAAGGGATGAAGGACAGGGCACTTGGTCCTGCTTCTGTGCCCGGGCTGTGTGTGCCTGAGTGATGCCAGGGTGGGCCAGTGTATGTTCACAGTGTGGGGAGAGGCCCCAGGCCTCACTGACACAGTGGGACTGAGGAGGGAGGAAGGGAGGGCAGAGACGACCTTGGAGCTGAGGAGTGTGAGTTGGTTTATGAGACAGATATCACTGTGCAGCCCAGGCTGGCCTCAGACTCATGGCAGTCCTCCTGCCTCAGCCTCCTTTGTGCTGGGATTACAGATGTGCACCACCAGGCCTGGCCCTGGGGACCTGGAGTTTGTACTCAGTACCTTTGGAACAAATTTAGAGCCAATTACCAGCATTTAAACTCTGGGGTAATGCACATCCCAAACTCGGTGCTTGGGACTCCCTGGGACTGTGGGCAATGTGGCAGTAGTCACTTCCCAGTCCTGTGTCACTGTGTGGGCTGGAGCCGAGCAGGAGCTGCCCTGAGCAGAGCTCGCTCATCCACTCAGTGATCCCTGGGCCTGTCCTGCCTGCCAGGCCCGGTACTGCCTGCTGGGTACTGTAGCAAGCCGGATGGACAGGGCTGGCAGTCGCCTGAAATTCCACTACTCAGGAGGCTGAAGCGGGAAGGTTCAAAGTTTGAGGCCAGCCTGGGCAAGTTAGTGAGACCCTGGCTCAAAATGACAGTCTTTAAAAAAGGCCAGGGATGTAGCTCAGGTTGGATTGCCTGGGTGTGGGGTGGGGTTCAATCACCAGCAATGCAAAAAAAAAAGCAAAAGTCTATTGTATTTTGGGAGAAGAGGGCAGACACCCAAGGACAAACAGCCTGTGGGGGACAGGGAGGTGTGTGCATGTGTGTGCTGTGTGCAGGGTGGCGTGGGAGGCCTCCAGGAAGAGGCACAGGTACACAGAGGTGGCAAGGATTGAGCGTGTCCTGAAGGCTGCACAGAGGCCCTGGGTGTTGGGGTGCAGGACAAAGCCGCTGTGGCTGGAGGGGAGTGGGGGTTGAGGTTACGTGGCAACGGGGCACCGAGCTGGACTGCTCTGAGGTCTTGCTGGCTTCTCACTGACAGACGAGGTGGCGGGTAGGGACAGGCCGACCAGCTGAGGTTGTAGTCCCAGCCTCTTGATGGTCCCACAAGGCTCTGACCCACAGCCCCGGGGATGGGACGCAGAGCTTGGAGGCTTGGGGAACTGCTTGGTTCCTGAGGAATGTGTGGTGGAGCCCTAGGCCTCGGTAGATACCCACAGGGCCAAGGTGTCCAGCAGGAAGGAATAGCGCAGCCAAGGCCAAAGGCCACAAGGCCTCTTGGAGGCAGGAAGAGGGAAGCAGCTGCTGTGAGCACAGCTGGCACAGGCCATTGGCTAACAAATTGGCAGGGGAGGCGTCTGGGTGGTTGTGGGAAGAAAGCGTCTTGGGGAACGGAAGTGGCCAGTGTCCCAGAGGGAAACCAAGGCCAGAGCATGGAAGCGGGGTGTGGAGGAGGCTCCCGTCTGTGCCACAGTCCTGGGTCCGTCCGGTTCCAGGGCGCCATCTGGTGTCTCAAGTGGGAACTCAGCCCCAGGAATGCGGCTAGAGGCTCTGAGCCTGGCAGTGAGTGTTTCAGCGATGCCAGGGAAGAGCCACCCTCTGTAAGGCCAGAGGGGTGTCCAGTGTGCCCAAGGGTGTGAGCCAGAGAAAACCACACCGATAGGGTCAACTTGTAGGCTCCCGAGGACAGCATGGCACACCCGGAGGCAGCCAGCTCTCCAGGGCTGTACCCCTGGCAGGAGGTTGGGAGACTGATCGGGAGGTGCAGGGCAGGCGTCCCCAGAGTGCACGTTTGAACTGGGCCAAGAAGGCTGAAGAGTTCAGGCATGGTGGGGCAGAGGCTGATGCAGGAGGTTCGCTGTGAGTTCGAGACCAGCCTGGGCTACGTCGTTCCAGGTGAGTCACTCAACTACATAGTGAGACCCTATCTCAACCCCCCCAAAGTTCACCAGGCAAAGCAAGGCTGTTGTGACCAGCAGAAAATCAAATGGAAGACGCCTGTGCTTGAAGGGGCCTGGGAGAGAAGGGCAGGGCCAGCGTGCGTGGAGAATAAGGTGGTGAGAGATGACACCGGAGAGGCGGGAAGGAAATAAATACTCCAGAGCTCAAAGGCCAGGTGATGGGGCTGGGAGGGCACTGGGGAGCCACAGAAGGATTCTGAGGGACATGTTCAGAAGACGGGCAAGCTGGAAGACAGCGGGGATCCCCAGAATGCAGAGGAGGGCCCCAGGCAGGGAACCCTCAGGGCCAGGGTCAGCTTCCCCGGCTTCCTGGTAGCCAGGCAGAGAGGGTACAGCATAGACACGGCCAGCTGAAAGGAAGCTGTTTATAGGCTGGGCAGCACATCACAAGGCACAGGGTTCGGTGTGCCCACTCCCAGGGTCCCGCAAGCGCTCGACAGTGGGCTCGGGGTCCCTAACGCCTCCGCCACCCGCGACCGCTCGGCAGGACTCGAGCGGGACCGTGCATCCGCGCACCCGTCATGGTCACATTGGCGAAGGGCCAGGGAGGGTCAGATGACCTCCGCTTTCAACTCGCCTTCCACTTTCTTCTTCTGCTTCTCCATCACCGCCTCCAGCTCGGACACTTTCTCTTTGTTCTGCGGGGCGGGTGGAAGTCAGGCCGCGCGGCCGAGCCCTCGGCGCTCCCAGCCCGTCGGGCCCCAG